TACTTTTCTGTTTTTTTAAGGGTATGTTAAAAGTACAGCTAAGGTCTGAATATGATATCGTATATCGCCATATCTGATAGGGTATTAATTCTCCAGCTAGCCAGAGATAAAGATAATTCTTGTTTTTTTTGTTTGTTTTTTGGTGATGTTTTATTTTGTTTTTGTCAACGCCGCACAAAATGCCATGAATAAAGCAATATGAAGCCCCAACGAAGACGTTGAAGGAATCCCCCACACGTTCAGTTCGAGATATGTCCTTGTGGCAGAAACTTGGTTTGGCTTGGGTGTTGGGGAGGGGGGAAAGGAACAGCAGATGCAGCAGGGCGTAAGGGTAAGTTATAGGCACCCAAATTCCGTAGGCAGTCACAATTTGGTTTTTGTCACAGTGGCAATGTAAATAAATAGAGAATAAAGCAACAACAGCAACAGAAACAACAACAAAGATGACAATCACTACATATGGCAAAGCCAACATTTTTGGCCAGCATGTGGATGTGCTTATTTCTTCTTTTATTATGTGTACTCGTATCTCTAATTTCTCTCTCTCTCTCTCTCTCTCTCTCTTTCATTTTTCCGGATAGCCTGCAAATGTTTGTAGTTGTGTGTGTGTGTTGTGTGTGTGTGTGGGGAGCACATAAATTAAATTACTTAAGGCACAAAGAAAATGCTGTGTGAAAAACTAACAACAGCTCGTTTGCAGCCATGCTACTTCCATGTACACAGAGAAAGAGAGAGAGAGAGGGGGGAGGGAGAAAGAGCACACAAAAGGCCGCTTCATTGCGAGGGTCGAACAATGAGTAGCCCACTCCATATATAATATCAAACTGATTAATAGGTTATTATTATTAAGATTATACTTACCACAGATAATCCTATTGTTTATGGCAAACGATTGAAATTGGAATGCCAAGGCATTTATTCGATTGAATTTTCGGTAGAAGATGAAGAAAATTCTGCCCAATCTAATGGGTCAACGGGTCCTCTTTATGAGAACCTGGTTCGTTTCACAAGTGAACCTCGAAAGCGCATGTTAAAGAGTTTAGTAAAGCAAAAAAATATATAAAATGAAAAGTAGTTGACCTGCTGGTACTTCTAGATCAACCCTCGTGCTCGGCGTCTGCCTATCACAGTCGCCTGTTTTTATGGGCATACGTTGGCATCCAACCAAAAAAAAAAATGAAAATGGGCATAATACAAATTTCAGTTACCCTGCTCCGTTATGCGACCTCATTATCCATTCGCGTCGAGCTTTGCTGCTTAAATTTTACCCAGCCTGATATGTTGGGTGGCATGCAAATCGTGTGGGTGCTGCTGATGATGGGACTAATGATGCATTCGATGCTGATGACATTTGGCACATAGTACATACCTGCAAGCCTGCAGCCTGATTGGGCGTCTTTGGTCCCTGCAAAAACACAGATAAGGATCCAACGAGCATTGCTGTTATCCCTAAATATACCCTGTTATTCACTTACTTTGAGCTGCGAACAGGTTCATTAAAGAGCCAATTAAGAAACCGTTAAAACTAGCAGCAAAATTTGTTTAAGTGCGTAACCAACCCACTTAAGCATACGCAGTAGTAAAAATTAAGCTTATTGCTCAGTTTCCAAGCATAAGTTCGCTGAGTAGCAACATTGTCGAGTGCGCAACTTGAGGAGGCATCAAAATAGAATCAAAGCGCACGCCAGTTGCATGCAAATTAAACCAGTGAACAGTGGAACCAGCAATAACTTACTCTAATCGCTTAGGTACGCGTATTGCTGGTGCACAAGAGATCAGTAAAGCATAACTGTTCAAAACTGAACATAATATTTGATTTACATAATTTAACATAACATAACATAATATAACAAAACATAGCATAATCAAACATAAGATAACATGAGCTAAAATAACATAATATAACATAACATAATGTAGAATAGCATAATATAATGTAACATAACATAAAATAACATAACGTAACATAAAATAACATAACTCACCATAAAATTAACTAACATAGCATAACATTAAATAACTTAACATAATAACGTAACTTTACATAACTTAATATATGTTAACAAAGCTGACATATCCTAACAAATTCTAATAAAACCTCAAAAAGCCAAGCTTACGTAGAATTGCAAAATATAAATAAATATATAATAAGCGTTATTTTTATATATAACAAAACCAATGTCTTTTCTTTAGACTATCACATAATACAATTCAATATAATTGTATATTCCAAAAACCTTACAGAACAGACTGTCACATAATAAAACTGAACATAACCTAACAACAAATTCTAGTAAACCAAATTCACATAACCTGAGATAGCATCACATGTCGGTATGGGCGCGACAAGGCAGTTAAGGATTTATTGTTTAAATATAGGCAATAGTTATTAGCCTTTGATGCGTTAAGGTCTACTTAACTTCACCTCTGGGAAATCACACTAAAAATGTGCTTGTACATTTCCTTTGTAGATAGCGAAATCGCATTTCTAATTGATCCCCTGGCACATTTTATAGAGCTTGTAGCAATTGATAGTACACATACTTAGGTTCGCATATCGTTCGCAGAGCCTGATTGGCTAAGAGACTTCAGCAAAGGACACTTTGTTCAATGCGCTGCAGAAATATATGTTCAACTACTTAATCTTATTGGCACAATGTGCAAAGAAGTTGAAAATCTCAGCCGAGTGTCCACAGTGAGTGGTTCGCTTGGTTCGCTGTATTTCTCGTCAGATGGCATTTATAATTGATGCAGCCCAAATGAACATTTTAATTGCAAGCTCAAGGATGGCAACAAAGGCAAACGTCGGGCCCAAGCCGCTTACGCTTCGGACAAGGGTCCTCAGGTCCAGCCGGATCCATTCGAGAGCCATTGGATAGGTGCAGTTGAGTGGGCTGCGGCCCGTCGCCTTGTCGAGCAGCAACTGTCCCGACAATTAAAAGGCTCGGCTGCAGAGCGCTTTGCTGTATCAAAAATGATTATACATATATTTTTAGTAGCAAACCTTGCCTGGAATGGGCCGCTAGTCGGCACTATCCAATGCCAGCATGAGTCCTTCTTAATTATCCCCACAGACGGTGCGACCCAACAAGCCCAACGCCCTCAGCATTTTAGAAATACGCACGAATCCCAGTGGGATACAATTTAAATTGTGTTCACAAAAATGTTACATTTCATTTGAAATAGTTAACAGGGGCTAAGGGCTAAAATTGCTTGAATGCATTCTCTCTAAGGAGCCACCCATTGGGGTATTTATGCTTGTCTGGCTTGAGGCGACAGAATGTGTCAAAAATATTTAACCCAAATATACTAATAATAATGATAATGAAAATAATATAAATAATAATAATTAATAATAATAATATTAAATAATTATTAATTCTTAACTTTGCATCCTGCTCAAATGCAAATCAAAATAAAACTCTATATCTTTTATAGCTTTAGATATGAAGCTATCCAAAATTTAGAACTAACTTTATTACGCCCACTTTCGCCCTTGTCATTATGTGTCACAACTATTATGAGGAATAGGAACTTGATAGAAAGATAGAAAAGATTCTCTTTCAACAACTTGAGCTCGCTTTGGCTGAGCAAGCATACAGTGGAAACTCTGCTAACGGACACTGTTGTAAGGAGGAGACGCCTCTTGGACAGACATCTTCTCTCAAATTAAAACAGCCCTCATCCATTCCCCCTCTATTAGATGGACGGAAATTACCCGATTGTCACTGTCCGCCCAAATGAGTATTCACTGTAAGTCAAAGTAAACAACTTAGATCAAGTTAGCATATCAGCTCTCACATTTAGTTGAGGGCGCATACGAGAGTATGCGCTCAGTTAGTTTTCATAGATCAAATGCTGAATATGCTACACAAGTTTTTAAAAAAAAATAAATAAAAAAAAGAGATAAATAAAAAAAATATAAAAAACGTATCGCGTGGGAATAATCTATAGTAAATTTGTGGTATAATGAGTCTGAACAACTTTGATGAACGCTGGCGGCGCGATCATCCGCACGATAATTACTTACCGCCCTACCTTGGCGGGCCAGTCGATGAAATATTCTTGCGTGGCGAATCGTCTCACGATCTGCGGCCCACTATGCCGGAGGTATTCATGGCGAGGCATCGGCTCGTGCATAGCACTCCGGTGGGGATGCCGCCACATAAAAAGCAGCACGGCGCTGGCCCGTTCCGGAACCCGCGCAAGCCAATTATCCTCAAGGCGGCAGACGTGGTCGGCCTCTGGGTGCGTGTCGGCAATATACCGGATCATATGTTCCACATAATCTATTACTTCTTCACCCGAATGGGAACACTGGAAACCATGCGAGCATTTAATGAGAGGATTTTCTATGTGCGCTACAAACATCCAAGGGATACGCTCAGGGCATTAAGCTTCCATAGACGGCGCATCATATTTATGGAGCATTTGGTGTGTCTCAGTTGCGATTTGCTCAATCAGACGGACATTGATAAGATATATGGAAAGCGCAAGCCCGCCTCCGAAGAGGACACAAATGACGATCCGGACAAATACGATCCATACTGTACCGAGCGCTTCGTATATGCCGACGAGTATGAGAAGGAATACAATGAGAGATTCAGCACGGACGCCTTCGGGGACCGTGGACGTTGGTATTCCGACGAGGACAACGATGATCAGTTCTACGATGGCGATGAATACCAGTATGCGAATGAGGAGGATTTCTGGAATGCTGGTCCGCCCGATAATTGCCAAGTGAGAAACTGGCTAACGACCGTCTGGGGATGGGCCAAGTTCCAGATTGGGTCCCTGATCACATATTTCACATACGATTTGCGTTATTAGTTGATTTTGTTTATTATTGTTTGAACCCTTAGGAATTTTTAATTGAAACATCAAAAGTACTTAACGATAAATTTGTTATGATTAAAAAAAAAAATAGTACACATATAAAAAAAAACACGCGACATTTACATATTTACACGCAGCACACCTAGAGACAAGTTCACCAAGATCCTAACCCTCCTCCTTAAAGTTGTGGACTATCCGCGGCGGCGGCGGCGCTGTTTGTGTACACCACCGAGTTTAGCACCTGATCGTTGCGGGAGCGCGAACGCCAGGTGTCCATGCCCATGGCCAGGCCGGGATTGAGATTGGGATTGGGCACGCCCACCTGGCTGGCCGAGAGAGCGCCGGCCGCTGCGCCGTTGCGCTTCCATGGCAAGACCTTGAACGTGTCCACAAAAGCGCGCCGAAAGCTAGCGTTCATGAAGCAATAGGTGATCGGATTGCAGCAGCTCGAGGAATAGGCGAGCAGCTGGAGGAAACTGATCGTGGTGTAGTCAATGTATTCGTACAGCGCCTGTCCAATAAACATGCTCAGCGTATTAATCACATACAATGGCGTCCAGCAGATGAAGAACTCTAGAACCAGCACGAACAGCATCTTCACCACGCGCTTCTTGCTCTCCAGCGTCCTGGTCTCGTTGGATCTGCGAATATTGATTCAAGTTACAGCATAACGTAGATCAAGCCTGATCAGTTCCTAACCATGCTCCTCAGGTTCTAGGTCTAGTCTTTATAAAAAAGTATCTTTTACATTCCTAGTATCATTCTCTTTGCTAACCCTGTCACGTATCAGGTCTTTAAGATTGATAAGAATCCTCATTATCCTCCTTCTTATTCTTTGTATGATTGCAATTACATTACATTTTTACATTCCTGCCAAATGACTAATTTCATCTGCAATATTCCAGCCCTTGGCAAACCTAGAATCTTTTAGGGTTCTACTCCGACTGATCTATAATTTTCGATCAGCTTGGCACAATCATCTGAGCTCCATGCGTAGACAGAAGATGGATCGATCCACTGCGGCAATTTATGGCCAAAGTGGGTCAAGAGTTGTGCAAAATAGTTGCGAAATTAACTAACTAACTAACTAATCTAAGGTAACTAGGTAACTAACCTAACTTGACCTAACCTAACCTAACCTTACCTAACTTTACCTAACCTTACCTAACTTAACTTAACTTAAGGCCTAACCTAACCTAACCTAACCTAACCTAACCTAACCTTACTTTACCTAACCTAACCTAACTTAACTTTACCACACATCTGCAAGTGTGGCAACGCCATTCACGGGGGCTTTTCACTTGCAGGCTTTTCTAGCAATGTACAAAACGAAGACGCGAAAAACTTTGGCAATATTATTTCAAGGTATTTCGTTCTAGCTAATGAAAAGCAATTAAAAAAGTTTGTTATCCATTAAGTTAATGCTAGCTTTGGTTTAATTATTACAGGGTGGCAACGCTGCTGAATTTTAAATGTGAGGTTAAAATGGCGAATCTCATTTAATTGGATTTTAAATGCTTGATGACTTTAAGTTCAAATCATGTGAGTAATTTTTGGTGTGCTTAAAAATGTGCCGAGCAGAATGCTGCACCTGTGTTTGGTAAACCGATAAAGGCTAATTATGCAAAGTGCTTTGCAATTGAAGCCGCCCTGGGATCTTTGGCCGAATAATGGCATTGTGTTCAGTGTCAATCAGAATTAGGGTCCATGGGTAGTATATATGATTTAACATGCATACAAACCAAACGTAACCAAAGGCTGGCCAGTTATTGCGCGGTCGGCATCTGCTGTCTCGGGTCAAAGGTCAAAGCTTACCTGCGCAATGCCGCATCGTGTATACGCAAACTTGGCGAGGCGTTCGAGGACTTGGCCGGTGTCACAGTTGTTAATGTCGTTGTTGTTGTTATCGTTGTAAGTGTCGTTGTTGCTGTTGCTGTTGTTGCTGCTGTTGCTGCTGTTGCTGTGCTTGTCGTGGCGCCATTGTTGTTGTTGCTGCTCTCTGCGGACATAAAGCATAAAATGCGCATTTGTTGTATCCCATTGGGCGTGTGTGTGTGTGTGTTGGCATGGGCGTGGCGTGTCTTCTACTTACCATTGTACTCGCTGGCGGCATTCAGGACCAGCACGCAACTGCTGCTGCCGGGCGTGGCGGCAATGGCCGCCGTGGCCACCGTTTGGGCGCTGCCACTGCTAGCCGGCATTCGGGCATCCTTGCCCACATCCATGCCCACATAGAGAGTTCGCGTAATGAGTATATAGGCGGCACACAGCACCAGCAGCGGCAGGACGAGCAGAATAAGATCCAGCATAATGTTGTAGAAGCGCTCGTAGCCCTGGTCAGGCCAGTGCTCGCGGCATTTGCAGAATCCTGCGGCAATTACCATAACTAGCTAACTATTTAGTCCAAAGCTGGGCCCCGCCCCGTCACTCACCTGGCCGACTTGTGGGTATCAATCGACTGAATACCGCTATTGGCGTCATGCACAAAATGCCCCCGAGCCATATGCACCCGATTATCTTATAGGCATGGCTTATTGTCTGCCAGGACCTCGAGCGCAGCGGATGGCATATGGCGTAATAACGTTCACAACTGATGGCCACCAAGGTCCACGAGGAGACGGCCACTGAAGCCGCTGCAAATGGGCATAAACAGAAATACAAATTTTCAAACAACAAACAAACCATTATTTCAAATATTTCTAATAATATAATTAGAATTATTATTATACTCTTTGATATTTACCAAAATTTCCTAAAAAATTTGGTTCTGTTTCGCCGAAAACGAAAATTATGTGGAATAGTTTGCAGTATAGTAAAGCATAGTATGTTATAGTATAGTATATAAAAATATATATTACAGTATGGCATAGTATATTATAGTATAGTATACTATAGAATATTATAGTGTACATATCATGGCATAGCATAGTATGGTATAGTTTTGTATAGTATATTTATTATAGGATAGTATAGTATAGTATGGTATATTGAATTATAGTACACTAAAGTGTGGTATAATATAGTGCATTATGGCATAGATAACATAGTACAGTATAGTATAGCATAGTATGGTATATTTATAGTAATGAATATTATGGAGTACTATATATAGTGATATACAGTGTATTTTGATGTAACAAAGTATAGCACAATATATTATAGCACAATATAGTATAGTATAGTATAGTATACTGTATAGCATATTATAGTCAATTATGGCATAGGATCGTATAGTAGAGCATTGTATAGTATAATTTCGCATATTATGGCATTGTATAGTATGGTATACAATAGTATAGTACAGTTTTATAATATAGTTAATTATGGCATATTATAGTATGGCATAGTATAGTTAAGTGTAGTGTAGTTTTCACAGTCAACAAGTTACTTGAACTTAACTTGAAACGTATTGTGTTTATAATCATACCTAGGCAAGTTAAATGCTAAATTTGTAGGAATTGCTGCATTAAACTTAGCTGGCTTGCAATGTTCTATTACCAAATTGCTGGCATATGGGCAAAGACATAAACTGAAACGCACGCAGCCATCTAGGTCGAGGCGGGGAGAGTTAGGCCAAGAGGGGGAAATGAAGGATTGGCTGCTTAAATTTGTAATCACAGAAACGTAAACGTAACTTAAACAGCACGCACACATTTTGGCCATATGTCGTCGGGTTTGGACTTTAGCTGTTTTTGTTGTTGTTGTTTTTGTTTGCCATTGCCATTGCGATTGCCATTGCCATGGCCATGGCCACGGCCACGGCCAATGGCATTGGCGTGTGCGCTTAGAATCGGGTTCGTTTGTATTTGGGCTGGCTATACAAATTTTGCGGTATTTATGTGTGTTGGCTCCTTGGCGCTTGTTGTGCCTGCTTGGAGCTGTCATGGACATGCCCATGCCTCTTCTTTTATTTGCGGCAATCAAATTTTATCGCCCAACTGACGCTTATAAATTTGTGCCTGTCACAGCGCCCTGCTACGCATATTTATGTTTCTCGGCTCACGGCGGCATGTCGTATACGTAATATGCTCAACACGTCGACCAAATCAGGCGCCTAGAAATACGAAATCTGATTTGAAAGCTGAAAGCAGAAAGCTGAAACCGAAGTCGAAGTCGAAGCCAAGGCTAAAGCTGTGGCTGCAGCTTAACCCAAACCGGAGTCCCGTCTCGGGAGTTGGGATTTATGCCTGAGAGTGTTAAGATGCCCCAAAGATGCTCACAAATCAAATTCAATCAACGACAAAATACGTATACATTTTTTTGTGTACATGTATAAATAAATAAGTAAATAAAGAAAACATGAAATTGAATTTGTGTTCAATGTTTATTCGACTTTGGCTGCTGCTGTTGCTGTTGTGTGCTGGCATTTGCCGTCCTCCCATTTGCCGTCAGTTTTGCATTCGCCAATTGAATTACATCCGCACGCACTCACACACACGCCCACACGCACTCCCACACACACACACACACACTTACAGAAACGCACTAAGGCGCTTACAAATTGTGTCTGTATTTTAAAATGATTTAGTTGTCATGCCGCTTTAGGCCAATCAATCAAACTGTTGAGCTGCCACACTTAAGCTAAACAGCAAACAATCCTCAGCCAACACACACACACACACACACACACACACACACACACGCATACTTGGTGTCTGTTATTTATAGTTTATGAGCCGCGCTCGGCATACTTCCGCATAAAAACTACTTCGACAGCCGATGTGCTATTTCTGGAATTCCACAGTGCACTCTAAAAGTATGCAACGCTTTTAGCGCAACACCAACTTGCATCAATAAGTGTTGCATTCTTCAAGGCGCCAACGAAAATGCTAACTCGCGAGGCGGAAAGCCTATTGAAATATTGATGATGTCAGCTTCATGTTCGAGCACATGAAATGCTGCAAATATCAAATGCCTTACAACTTTAGACATAAAACTTAAACAAAGGAAGAAATCTGGATGCCTCTGGCTTGATTAGGAAATAAAACACTCATGAGGAAGACAAATAACTTTGGTCCCAAGCATTGCATTTATCTAAGCCCATTTAATAGATGCCAATTTTGGCTGGGTTCAAATTTAGCCCGCATTTTGTGTATGAAAATATTTTGGAGTTGCAATATTTTCAGTGCCAAGGGGCAATTTTAATTTAAATTAAATTGTTTCATTAAAATTTAGAATGTAAATTAAAAAAATCCTAGGCTCAAATATGTTAAAAACGAACTAAATTTATCAATTGGGTTTGAGCTGTGAACCCTTTTTTAGCTTACAGCCTTGATATGCAAGCGAAGCGTGAATTCCTTTCAGGCTTTGTAGCCCTGGTATGCAGGCCTATTATATATGTACAAAATATACTTTGGGTCAGCTTTAACAGACACTTTTCTTCAGTTTTTCTTTCATATATCTCAGTTACCTTGAGATCTTATCAAATCAAATTTACATATATACGCATACAATTTTCGTTAAAATATTCAAAAAACTTCAAAGATTTCATTTTTGTGTCAATTAAACCTATTTTGCATAGCTGTTGATCTGCATTCCTTGAACGAGTGTCTCGGGCAAAGCTTGTGAAAACTTAAATCGTTTTCTTTATAATACTCTGAGCCCATTGAAAATTCGAATTAGGGTAGAATGTTTTTGTGCAAAGGAATGTAACAGGCAGAAGGCAGCATATCCGACTCCATAAAGTATACATATTCTTGATCAGTATCAATAGCCGAGTCGATCTAGCCATGTCCGTCTGATTGTCCGTCTGTCTGTCTGTATGTATGCAAGGATCTCAGAACCTATATGAGCTACACTCTTGAAATTTGGAACGTAGGTTCTCCTAGTGCCCGCGCGGTACGAGTTTCTTTTCGATAATAGATAACTTGCCCCGTTTCTAAGCAATCGATATCTCTTAATTTAATCTTATTTTAAGAACTTGATTCACCAAACTCGATATACAGCTTCTAAAATAGTATACCTTTGCTGGTATTGGCGTTGGTAGAAGGTTCAGGGTATCGCCTAGTCGGGCACTCCCGACCAGCGCACTCTTACTGGTTTTCTATACATATATGTGTTTTTTTTTTTTTCTTATTTGCATTCTTCAGATTGATGTGCTATATAACTTGCGAGACGGCAAATTATAAATTTGCGCAAAAGCTTAAAAAACTTTTCGCCCGTTGACACTTGAGAGGCAGCAAAGTTTTTGTGTTTCTTTTTTTTTTTTGCTTTTTTATTTCTTTAATTATTTTCATTCATTACCATTCAGCTGGCTTGTCGGCAGCTCCGGCCCAAGGATTGTCAACTGGCTGCAGCTGCTGGTAGAAATATTATATCAGCAAAGTTGTTTCGCTGTCCAATCCCCCTAATTCAAGTCCCCGGCACGTTCCCGACGCCAACAGGATTCCTTTTGAAAAGTTGGCCACATGCTGACCAAGTCCATGATTAACGACACGTCACAACTGGCTGTGGGAAATGCGTTTGCCAGCGCCAAGGCCGGCCACAGATAATATGATGGGCATAGAAGATATCCAATCTGGGCAATGGCAATCCCTAAGGCTAGGTAAGCCGAGAGCTATTCGGCGGTTTGGTCAGCTGATAAATGAATAAATATGATGTCGGGCAGCCGGCAAACTTTGTGCCTCAATTCTAGTTTGTTTTAAATTTGCTATCATCGGGTCTTAGATGCGTTTTTTTGTTTTCATTTTTAACAGTTTTTCAACAAATATCAAAACAGACAAACACAAGACAAATCTCGCAAAAATAGATTAATTTACCCAGACTGGATGAGAGATGATTATTTTTATATTAGCCTAGAACTCGACCCGGATTCTCTTTGTTCGTAAAAAGTATTCCAAATAGATAAATTTGATATTTGCATCTTGCTCGAAATGGAAACTTGTTGAAATTCGCGTTTGGAGGCAAAGCATTTGGTCGTAGGAAAATAAAATGTCTTTAAGGCTGGCCATTCTGGCTTTTTCATTCAATTATATTGCCAAAAGTTCAGAATGTGTATTGCTAGAGAAAACAAACTTTTGCGTTGTTTATTTTTTAATTTTATTTGCGTTTATTTTTATTTTCTCAATTCGAGGGCTTAGGCTGGGTAAATTTTAATGCTATTATTGAAACTTGGCACAACTTGTTGTTGTGCTGGCAAATTCGTTTAAATTCAATGGATTTAACACATAAGTAAATGCCAGCATTTAAGCGGTACAATCACAGCGGCTACGGCGGGCTACAGGCCCGCAAAATGGCCGAGGGCTACGCCGACAGAGAAAAACTTTCCAGCAACAGCCGAAATCTTCGAAAGTCTTGTCGGCACGCCCCAAATTCTATTTAACTGAAAAGTGAAACAAACTTGGCAAAGTGCTTGACGCCCGCCTTTTTATCAAATTAAATAAGTATTTTAAAGTGGCTACGTAAGCCTGCCAGTGCGTGTGTATGTGTGTGTGTGCGGGCGGAAGGGGGAGAAGTGGATTCGGGTGTATCAAAACTTTGGTTTAGCTGAGCTGTTTTCTAGACCAAACTCATGTCTATCGAGAGGCCCGTAGTTATTCAAGCGGCATTTAATTAAACTTGGCGTTTTGCTGCATACTTCAAGGGAACACGAAGTTCAAAACACACATAAACAAACACACACGCACACACACAC